CCAGGCTCTGAGCCATCAGCCCAGAGCCCGACGCGGGGCTCGAACTCACGGATCGCGAGATAGTGACCTGGCTGAAGTCGGACGCTCAACCGACTGCGCCACCCAGGCGCCCCTAACATTGTAGGTTTTTAAATTGTTCTCTTTCACAAAATAATCTGAAGGAATGACTTTGATTCTGACCCATCTTTTTTAAAGATGGAATTTTACTGTCCTTCAAATTAACTGGCCTTTGTGCTCACGCCTGCTAGTAACGCCTGTCGGTTTTTATGATCATCGAATGATTGGGTAGCACCGTGTCTTTTTGTAGTAGCTACTGCTTTGGCGTCCTACTTTAATGAGGTTCATACCTACTCACCTCTACTTTTGAAAACTTGAATTTTTATGTAAACTAACGTAAACTTTTCTTTGCGGTGTGTGGTTTTTTTCAAGAAGTGTAAACTGATGGTTTTCCTTAAGTCCACTTTTTTCTTACTGTGGTTACAGAGACTTTCTAGAGCTTAAATAAAGAGTAATGCTCTGACCGTGTTTAAAAGATAAATTGAGGTGCACCTGGGTAGCTCAGTCGGTTAAGCGTCCGACTTTGATTTCGGCTCAGGTCATGATCTCACGGTTCGTGAGATGGCTCCTCGTGTCAGACTGTGTGCTAACATCACGGAGCCTGCTTGGGATTCTCATTCTCTCTCTCTCCCCCCGCCCCCGCTCACACTCTTTCTCTCCCAAAATAAATATTTTTTAAAAAAAGATAAATTGAGGTTCCCTGATTTCTTTGGAATAAAAGTTCCATAACCCACACAGAGGCTGGTAGTAGTATTAGAAGCTTACATATTCAAAGACTATAAATAAAAGCCTTTGTAAGCAGCTTAATGAATTTGCCAGGTGTGCAGTTACTAGCATGAATCAGAATGCCTTTATCCATATAGTTATTTGAATGTTCTTCCTATATCAGAGATTGACCTATTTTTGTGTGTTTTTATTATAAAAGGAAATAATGGGACTTGATCGAGTGATCCAAATGGGCTTGATCCGGTTTCTGAGCAGATAGTAAAGCACCATTTGGGATTGCTTAGGCACCATAGTTTGATCTGTAGCACAGATGCCAAACCAAAGACCATTGTGTGGGACTGAGTAAGTGACATCCTGAAGTAAAAATGCTGTGCAGGTGATTCACTTTTGCTGGTTAGAGTTCAGAAAAGTTTACTGTGTTTAGTTATAAATAAGTCAGAGAAGGACAAATACCATACGATGTTGCTTATAATGTTTTTTATTTATTTTTGAGAGAGAGAGAGAGTGAGTGGCAGAGGGGCAGACAGAGAGAGGGAGACACAGAACCTGAAGCAGGTTCCAGGCTCTGAGCTGTCAGCACAGAGCCCGATGCAGGCCTGGAACTCCCAGCCGTGAGATCATGACCTGAGCCGAAGTCGGATATTCAACTGACTGAGCCACCCAGGCACCCCTATATGATGTTGCTTATTTGCGAAATCTTAAAAATAAATAAGCCAAGCAATAGATAAGCCAGCCAGGCTCACAGATCTAGGGAACAGGAGAGGGGTGGTTGCCAGAGGGCAGCAGTTGGAGAAAGAGAGAAGGGGATGTACTGTTTTTGGTTTTAAATAAATTGAATGTGTTTAAAGTTTACTGTTTAGTTATCTTGTACTTTACTTTGGGATTGCCCTGGATTCTCTAATATAAATGATCTTTTTGAGTTACAGGAAACAGTGATCATTTAGTAAGTACTGTTAGGAGGTAAATAAAACTGATTAAGTGTTTAAAGATAGTTTTAAATCAAGTAGTCTATACTAGTGCACTTTGAAGATACTAGCCTAAATTATTTGTTGAATTATCAGATCTATCGAGTAGCATATTGGTTTCCTAATAGTAGAAAAAAAATGTTTGTTTAATTATGTTGTAATTCCTAAGGATTAGGTTCAATAATTGAATCCTACCTGACATTTAAATGAAGTTTTACTTACAGCTGTTTCTCAAAATCGTTGTTACCTTTTCAATTGCTGCTAATCTGGAATTGTAGAAGGGCACTTCTGAAATCTGACTCTGCATGGGTAAAGGTCACTGTGTGGGGACTTGATGCATGGCGTTTGCCACAAACTCTGTTTAACCCAAGGCTTATTAGAGCAGGTACAAAGAAAATTAAAATTTCTCTTAAGACATTTGAGGAAAAAAATTTTGGTTTGAAAAGTGATCAAGCAGAGGAGAATCTGTCATCAAGTCTCTTTTCTTATTTGTTTAAACAATCCCTTAAAGTGTCAAGGTGCATCGAATTTTGAACTTTAATAGATTTTCTTCTTTGGCATTCATATTTCAGATCTTAATTACAGTTCTCTTCTTTTTAGAAAGTATGTGTATTTAAATGTTTAAATATACTGTATGTAAGGTCTGTGTGTGGCAGAGGAAAGGACGAGGTCTAATCTTGGCATTTCCACCCGCCTCGGGTGAACTGTGACCTTTATTGAAAGCAGGCATCTGCTGCCTCAGCTTGGCTGCCATTTTGAGTGCTCATGGCTTCAGCTAGAGACTTACTTGGATGGCCTTATTTGGTGCTGTATGGTAACATTTGTTCTCGTGTATTTTATTTTATTTTATTTTATTTTTTTAATTTTTTTAACGTTTTATTTATTTTTGAGACAGAGAGAGACAGAGCATGAATGGGGGAGGGGCAGAGAGAGAGGGAGACACAGAATCGGAAGCAGGCTCCAGGCTCTGAGCCATCAGCCCAGAGCCCGACGCGGGGCTCGAACTCACGGACCGCAAGATCGTGACCTGAGCTGAAGTCGGCCACTTAACCGACTGAGCCACCCAGGCGCCCCATGTTCTCGTGTATTTTATAAGAGAAACAATATAAATTCCAGAATTTAAATGTATTTTTAAAAAGAAATTTTAAAACTTCACATCAGTGTAAGTCGGTCCATTTTAGTGTAATAATTTTAACAAAATTTGATTGTTTGTGTGTGAAAAACCCTGGCTAGTTACAAAATAAGACCCTTAATCCTTTATTACTTCAGATAACTTCTACATAGATGAATGGAACACTAAGTGCTGTGTATGATTGGCCACATCGCTCTACCGCCTTGAAGGGACATGTGTTGGAAGGGGTGTTGAAAAGCAAACAATAGAGTAAAATATTTCACACTGCACATTTTAACACTCACTGCTTCCATTTACTCAAATAATTTTGGCTGAGCAGCTACCACAATTCAATGCTGAGCCCTTCAGAAGTCAAATTCTTTCAAGATACTGTTCCTCTCCCCAGTGGGACAGCCAATTTTTTACCAGGAAATACTGGCAGAATTCAATCTCTCTGACTTGCATTGATCTGCCATTTTTGCCAGGGTGGTGACAACCAATTTATGGTTTTGGTTTCTCACAACAAATTGAAAAGGTTAGAAAAAATGCTAATTGCAGTTAAATCTGAAAAATAAGTTATTGAAACAACTTAATACAGGGTGGAATAAACATGTTTCTGTAACAACCTACCTCTGAGTTTCTGACCTAGTCTCTATTGCAACAAAAACAGAAACTCCAGAGTATGGGAATCCCCAATTCCTGGTTTGTAACGGGTGGTGGCCCAGCCCAGATTTAGGTTAGCACGTGCCTCCTTTTCCAGAGATCTACACTGCCCTTCCCATCTTGAAATTCCAGTTTCAGGAAGTTTTTAAAATATACCTTTCTCTTTTTTGTACTCTGGGGTATTTTTAAAGTTCAAAGTATGTTCTTAAACTGATAAATATAGTAAGAAGTATTGGGAATTAATTATGGCAAATAGAGGGAAGATCATTAGTGGAGGTTAGTCTTTTTTTCTTTTTAATCTTTATTTTTTTTATTTTTTTTTGTTTTTAAAAAAAATTTTTTTTTCAACATTTATTTATTTTTGGACAGAGAGAGACAGAGCATGAACGGGGGAGGGGCAGAGAGAGAGGGAGACACAGAATCGGAAACAGGCTCCAGGCTCTGAGCCATCAGCCCAGAGCCTGATGCGGGGCTCGAACTCCCGGACCGCGAGATCGTGACCTGGCTGAAGTCGGACGCTCAACCGACTGCGCCACCCAGGCGCCCCTTTAATCTTTATTTTTGAGAGCGAGAGAGACAGAGTGCAAGTAGGGGACGAACAGAGAGAGAGGGAGACACAGAATCCGAAGCAGGCTCCATCCAGTCTCTGAGCTGTCAGCACAGAGCCCAACACGGGGCTCGAACCCACGAGCCACAAGTTCATGACCTGAGCTGAAGTTGGATGCTTAACCGACTGAGCCACCCAGGTGCACCTAGTGGGGGTTAGTCTTAACCATATTTAATGGTAGAAGATGGGATCTGATATTTAAGAACATTAAACTGTTTTTGTTAGGTAGAATGACTTGAGAGTTTGTTAATGAAAGAGGTAGGGCTGGCTATGGAAAAAAGAATCATCCAGCAGGGAAGTAAGTAGAGCACGTGCAAGGCCTTCAGGAAGTTTGCCTTTCATAGGTTGTGATCAGTATAATTTAAGTGTTGTAACAAATGTAGACCATAATTTGGGGGATGAGGTTGGGACATGGTGACAAGGCCGGAAAAATATCTGGTAGAAAAGCAAGAATCACACAGATGGATTACAGCAGTGTTAACCTTTCTTTCTTCATTATCCTCCTCAGGAGCCTTTTTAGACATTTTTTCCCTTAATCATCCCTCCTGTGAACTGTTAATACTGGATATTATACTATATATCTGTTTACATACTGTATGTATATCTCCACTCTATACATAAAAAGAACAAGAGGTTTTCACTTTCTAAGAACCAGCTTTCATCTTCCTAGAGGAGTAATATCACCTCCCCTTGAGTATGTGTATGGGTTAGAGTGATGCTGGATAAGACTGGCCTTGAACTCAGAGGAAAGAACTAGAGAGAATAGCATTGCAAAGATTGTCCACGGCTCTGGGCTAGGAAGAGAGGTGAATAAACAGACCTTTCCTTAGCCAAGAGCAGAGTGGGAAAAAAAGTCACTGTGCTTAGACTAATCAGATTAGGAGGAAGAACAGATGAAAGCATAAAAGCATGTGGTCTTTTGGAAAGATCTAGAGGAACACAAGTTGTCTTCCTGTAAAAGGGAAGGTAGTGCTTCTGAACAGTGAGGAGTCAAACCATAGTTCCATAGTTAAAGGGGTGAGGATTCTCGTTTCAAAGGAGAGTGGGAGAAGAGTGGAGAACTCCCATCTGATGGTTTCAGTCCTTTGAAGATGTCCTGAGGATTGTTTGCCGTTGTGGCAGATGATAAAAGGTGGCTAGAGCTTTAGGAGTCAGAAGGATTGAGGATTTGGATCAGGTTGTGTTTGGCAGGTGAGGCCTTTGGAGTTAGGAGGCCTGGTGGTCTGACAGAATGTGAGAGAGGCCGCCTCAGTAGAGAGCCTGCCCACGAGACTGTGAGAGATGGGCAAGAAGTCAGGGCTGAGGGAAGCTGCTCACAGGAAGCAGGAGTGGTAGAAAGAGAGGTCAAAGGTGCAAGAAGGAATGGATGGAGACATGAATTAGTGAATGGGAGAAAGTTGCTCAAGTCATCTTGGTCTCTGTAGGGGAAGATGTGAATACAGAGGCGGTCAGACAGGAAAACATAAGAAAAATTAGGGGAATGAGCCCAGAGGTGGTGCAGTAGTTGGTAAACCGATGAGAATCTTTGGAAAAGTTAGGTATTCAGAGGCCAGGGATGTGGAAAACAAGAGCTCAGTCTTCATAGGGGAAATGTGGTTGCCCTCTTGTTTTGCCATTCTGAATTCCAAAGCACAAGTTACCCGAGTTAACACTTTTGCTTTTCAGAAATACAAAATAAGCTGAAAATACTCTTGTAAAATGAGAAATGAATTCTGGAAGGTACATACCTTATGGATTTGTATGTTAGTAATCAGCCAGAAAGTATTAACTGCCTCTTGCCTCTCTGTGAACCCTGTAAGATGGATACCGTCTGGGCTGTCCTCAGCAAGAGGTTTCTAGCAGGGAAGAGGGGAGGTCCTTGGAGTGAGAAGGAGTGCACACTGCGGGGCTGATCCTGGGCTCTTCCTCTTCACTGTGTGCAAGCTGTGTCCTCAGGACAAGTGGATGAAGGACACTCCTAGGAAAACCTGGCCATGGAGACACTGTCTATACTCATTTTCCCTCACAAGAAGAAAACCCAAGTCAGGAAAAAACAGTTCTTCTGTGGTGGAAATAAAAAAAGAAAGAAAAGCAGAACTTAGACTTTTAGACTTAGACTTTAGACTTAGACTCTTCCTTTCAAAACCTATGAAACCAGAGAATGTCCCAATGTTACTTGCAAAAAGCTGGAAAAACATTCAGGGTAACCTGGTATGAACCACCTTCTGTAGGAAGACAGCTTTACTAATTAAAAAGTAGGGTGACCGACCAGCTTATGCAACATCAAGAACTGTGGACAGACAGGACACCGAAGAGCCCGTGTGGAGCTGGCTGCCTATCATTTGGAAAGCTCAATTTCATTTTAGAAACAGTGCACCTTTTTGGTACTAGGAACAGGCCTATGATGTGAGAACATGAATGGTAAGAGTTTGGATACATTTTGCAAACGGACTAAAGGGGTGGGGTCGTCCCCCCCCCCCCATGGGTGTAACTAATTGTCTCCAAAAATTTTCAGCTCAAAGTAGAAGTGATACTTTGTAAATTAGTCTGTAATCAGTTTTTATTCACTATAGGCAGTGACAGATAAATGTAATTATTTACACATTTGCTGAATCAGGACCCCAATTGAAGGACACTGGTAGTCATGAATACATACTTCTGTTATCGGGAGAACCTTTTGAAGCAAGTATCAGAGGGATAAGTTTATTTGATATGAAATATGCAAGGAAATTATAGAAGACACATTATATAGGAAGGGACATTTATCAGCTGTTGGATTTTCTGTACATCACTCTCTTTTGCTCATTTGTTCTTTCCTATTCTTTCGGTAAAGAGTAAAGGAGTAAAAGTCTTGAAGGGAAGCCTTATTACCCTTACATCAAGGAAACTGCCTGTTCTCGGTCTTCTTCTTGGCCTCTACGGTGGGTTCCTCTCTACTTCAGCTTAGCAGCGAAACCTGAGAATGCCCTTGACCTGAATCGAGTGTTTTTCTTTGGCATAAATTTATCCCATTTGTCCTTTCTCCCACTTTGAAAGTGTCAACTCATTTTGTCCCACAAAAGGAGTAGAAAGTGCCTGGGAAATAAGCAAGTGGTTTCTGCCTTTTTCCTGTGCAGGTCCCAGTAGGGATGGCACCATCAGTGAGGACACCATCCGAGCCTCTCTCATCTCAGCAGTCAGTGACAAGCTGAGATGGCGAATGAAGGAGGAAATGGATCGTGCCCAGGCCGAGCTCAATGCCTTGAAACGAACAGAGGAAGACCTGAAAAAAGGTCACCAGAAACTGGAAGAGATGGTCACCCGTTTAGATCAAGAAGTAGTAAGTAACTCACTGAATACTTGTGATTTTTTGGGCATGTACACCTTGGTTACCCTGGACTATGGGTCTAGTAAGAGTTGAGAAAATTAACACTAATTTTCTGGTCGTTAAGAATTTGAATATAGCTTCTGGATAGCTTGTTAGAAATGGAGCCTGTGTTTGCAGTGGGGAGGTAGATGGTATTTAGAGCATTTTTACTTGTACCTTCACCCTGAGAGATGAGCTTCCGACTCAGTGGAGGATTGTTTCAGTGCTTGATGATGCCCGACAGTTAACCGGGAAATAAGAATTTGAGAGAGTTCTAAGGCATGGAGATCTGCAGACTGTGGGTAGAGACTGGTCGAGTTCGGAGCCCACAACCACCAGCAGTATCTTGTAACTAAAGTTCAAGTGTGTGGGGTTCTTTGGGTTCATCCTCCGTGTAGACTGAGGCAAGTTATTCCTCCGTAGCACCTGCCCACTTATTTGGAAGAAAGACGTCCTTTATTTTCATGGAGGGAACCTGCTGCTGGAAAATACGTTGTGTGATGGCTTAATTTGCAACATCATCTGTCACTGATAAGTGACAAGCTTATCACTGCCACTGGATGTGCTCAGTGTAGTGTTTTCAACATTAGTCCGTCTTCACTCGGCATATATTACATCACACCTTTTCCTCTGCCGTTGGCCAATATGTTATCTGAAACATTAAGATCGATCATGTGTTGTTTATTGCTTTTTTTTATTTCACAAGGCTGTTTCTGTAGAGTTGAGTTGTAGATGCTTGACTGGTAGATGCTTATGTACAATTCGTATGAAGTCCTCATACTTGGACTGTTTTGTTTTCAGGCTGAGGTTGATAAAAACATAGAACTTTTGAGAAAGAAGGATGAAGAACTCAGTTCTGCTCTGGAGAAAATGGAAAATCAGTCTGAAAACAATGATATTGATGAAGTTATCATTCCCACAGCCCCACTATACAAACAAATCCTAAATCTGTATGCAGAAGAAAATGCTATTGAAGACACTATCTTTTACCTGGGAGAAGCCTTGAGACGGGGAGTAATAGATCTGGATGTCTTCCTGAAGGTATGTCTTCCTCACTCTGCTTTCCAGGATCTCAGAACTCATGCTTTAGAGGCACTGACCTTGAAAACCACAAACCAGGAGGGTTTCTCTGTAGGGGAAGTTAAAATCCCTTGTGTTCCCAAAGAGAGCAAGTGAGATCTGTGGCTGTGAGCAGTGTGATGTCACCTACACAGGGCTGAGGATCCCCCTGGGAGGGGAAGAAAGGTGGACTAGTGGCTGTACTTCCCATCCCCCAAGGCAGCACCAAGCTGAATGTAGTCATTCCTGCCTGTGTCTTTCCACTGTGCCGCCTGGGTCAGATACAATCAGATTTCCGTTGGTTCTTTCAAGTCATACACCATCTAAAGTAAGATCACTGACGACCCCACCCGTTTGGGGTTCTGTTTTCATATTTCCCTGTTAATTTTCTTAGAGTTGCCTAATTTTAGAGCTGTTTTCCCGGATCAAACAGCCCTGCAAAGTATTGGGCTGCCCTGCTCGTACCAGAGCCCTTCTGAATGAAGGTTGTTTTAGGCTTAATGCTAACGTACAGACGTGAAGATCCAGTGAGTTAGCTTGGCTACTGCTCTCTGTTGGATCGGGGAGTGTGGTTTTAGGAGAATAGCAGCCCTCTTTTAGGGTATTTGATTCAGCTGCTTCAGTGCACACGCAGGGCCGGCTGGCTGCTTGGGTCGCTTGCTGATCTGGCCTCTCTCGCTGTGATTAAGCGGCCAAACCGGTCTTGGATCTGGTGCAAGCACATGAATATCCAGCTAGAAATCAGAGACCCAAGATGAGGCCTCTCTCCCTTCATATGCTGTTCCTGCTTGGGCGGCCTAGCTTAGGGAAAGGTGCACGCAGAGAGGCCCGAGAGGTATGCTGTTGCTAGGCATTGGACAAAAGCTGGTTTATGCTGCTCACTCCCCTGCTTTTCGCCAAGTGCAGGCGGTCGTAACATTTTTAGTAACTTTTGTTAGGATTGCAGTTCTAGTTTCCCTGGTATCTTGGTTAATCTCAAGATGTAGTTCAAACTCCTGAGCCAGATCCTGTAATGTCATGCTTCCCTGTGAAGTAATCCTTTACAGGATCTCATAGCACAACCTGCCAGCATCAATCTAATTTAAAAACGAGTTTAAAAAAGCTACATGTAATGAAATATTGGTTCCAAAGGACGGTTGATACAAGTTTAGGGTTCTTAGATCGCATCTAAGTTACAAACTGTCTGATACTTCCTGCCTTGGTCAAATCCGTTCTAAACTGTTGAAACTTTTTCCCCCTCCCAGCATGTACGTCTTCTGTCCCGTAAACAGTTCCAGCTGAGGGCACTAATGCAAAAAGCAAGAAAGACTGCCGGTCTCAGTGACCTCTACTGACTTCTCTGATATCAGCTGGAGATTGAGCTCTTCTTAAAGCGTTCTTTTCTTCTTTCTTTCTTTCTCTTATCAGTAGGTGCCCAGAATAAGTTATTGCAGTTTATCATTCAAGTGTAAAATATTTTGAATCAATAATATATTTTCTGTTTTCTTTTGGTAAAGACTGGCTTTTATTAATGCACTTTCTATCCTCTGTAAACTTTTTGTGCTGAATGTTGGGACTGACTATGCTAAATAAACTTTGTTGCATAATTTTTCTCTTTATTCAACATTTTTAGGAAAAATCAATGAAATCCTAAGAAAGCATAATATCCATCAAGTTAAAATTTAGCATTATTCTGTAATCTACAAAGTGAATTGTATTTAATATGGAATATACCATATGGAAATCTAACTTTTGAAATATTTGAAACTGAGGGATGTAAGGGGCTTTTTCCGTTAAAAGTCCTATGTGGTACCCTCCTACCAGTCCTTGCCTAGATCTGTTTCCTTTCTAGGCCTAACCAAACCATAACCGGTCTCACCAAGAAGAAAGGAACAGAGTGGCAAGTGCAGGCTACACACCTGAGAGTTACGTTAATTGGGCAAGACGGTCTGGCCACAGTTTAGGAAGGTAGAGTGCCTCCTTGCTTTTATTGTCACATGAAGTCCGTCTTCCTGGTGTGTGATTCTACAGCCAAGTCGGGACCACCCAGTGGGCTGTTTCCTGCAGGAACAGAATTTCTAAATAGAATTTTCTCGATCAAAATGAGGTAGAAAATTCACAAGATTACAAAAAAAGGAACATTCTAATTTCAAGTGTTTTAAAATGTTCAGGAAGCTAGGCAGCCTACCCCATATTTCTCCCAAGAGAAGAATGCCCACCTTGGTCTCAGTCATCCCTCAAGGGTTTATACAGTTCAGATCTTTTGTAAAAACTACCAGAATAAAAGCGAGCAAGGTCAAATCAAGGTTTGATTTAATATTAGTTTAAAACGAGCATTTTTGTGTGTATGTTCATTTTTATATTGTAGAGGAAGTTGTAGCTTTTTTATAGGGTATAAATGAACATAGGTATCGGCCAGCCAGGACAAAAGAGTCAGAACCTCTGTAAACACAGTAAACACACATCATCCATTCATTTTGGACCAAGTGGCAAACGCATGCTTGCGTGTGCTAGAACTGCAGTCATGTAGCAACTGCACAAACTATCCTCCACCCCCCAGCTGCTAAACAGAGAAGTCACTCTTTTCCCTTTTTCCACTTTTAGGAATTCAGGTTTATTCGAAAGTTTGATACGTATCCTGTAACCACGGTCTCTCCTTCCAGAACTTCAGAATGGCAGCCTTAAGTAACTTGAAAGCTCGAGCTCCTTCTGAATTTCCCAAAGAGTGTCTGCACTCTTTTTCAAACGAGACTCCTCTTCAGGGGTCACCTTTACCTTCATGAGATCTGTAATACCATTCTCTCCCAGGATACGAGGAACAACAAGGAATACTTCTTTTATTCCATAGAGGCTCTGAAAGTACAGGCTTGGAAATTATTCCTTTCTTTCTTCTAATAAAGGTCTGTAGTATGAGAAACAGCAGAGAAACGGCCGGGTGAATGAGAATTTAACAGCTTTGTAGTATGAACTGTGGCAGAAAAATAGACCAGCGGGACAGAGAACAATCTCAAACGCGGTTAGACATGTTTACTGTTCGGATTCACCAGCCATCTTTCTACACAGGCCCCAGCCTCTTGCCATGTTTGCTGGGAATCACTCTCCTCTTCCTATCTCCATACCCCAAACCACTTCCTATCAGGGAATCACTTCAAAGTACCTATTACATTATTCCCAGTGATGTTATTCCATTTTGCTTTAGCCTGTCACATTGCAGACTAGCAAAGGAGTCTTACCCAGGCCTCAACTTCCCCTTCCCCAGGAGACTAACTGCTAATGCTTTTATGACTAGTGCTTCCTTCTTACGCCTCTTCATTGGACGTAATTGGAATTCTAGAGAGCAGTTCAAAATGGAGCAAGACCTACCCACAGTGTTTCCCAGCGTTACCAGTATAAACATACAAAAAGATACTTTTATGTACTTGAATCTAATAAATACTAGGACAGAAGTCTACAAAGATAAGTTCCTGTACCACCACCATCCCCCTTTCTCTGCCTCTTCAGCAGCAACAGAGAATAGACTTTAATTGTCCCTTGGGGCACCTGGGTGGCTCAGTCGGTTAAGTGTCCGACTTTGGCTCGGATCACATTATCATGGTTTGTGAGTTCGAGCCTTGCATAGGGCTCTGTGCTGACAGCCCAGAGCCTGCTTTGGCTCTGTTTCCATCTGTCTCTGCCCCGTGCATGCATGCTCTCTGTCTCTCAAAAATAAATATTTTTAAAAAATTGTCCCTCATCAATGTTTTTATTCCTATTTTATGTTAATGTTAAATAATTTTTCAAGCATGCACATCCTACCTTATGGTGGAAACTGGATGCACTCTCCTAAGATTCTTCAAAATACTTTGTTAAATCAGCTACAGATAGGATATACTTCTTGGGAGTGTTGCCCTTTCTTTTTAATCATCTCGTAACTACTGTGGAGAAATAATTGTCATTTGAACATCCATTTTATGGCAGCTGGTATGACAATGCCACAAAACTGAAATATTCCCTTCAATAATTTCCCCTAGAAATATCTTATAGCACTTGGTTAAGATAAACAGTCATGAGGGTAAGTATACAGATACAATAATATGAAATCAATTTTACCACTAACAGTAAAGACTGTATAACAATAAAAGAATATATTGTCATTCAACAAGTCACTGCCTACTGTGTTTAGGGTTAGGCTCAGCAATGAGTAAGACAGGCTCAGTCCTGGACTACTTAAGAATTTATAATCTGGTGGGGCACCTGGGTGGGTGGCTCAGTCGGTTAAGTGTCCAACTTTAGCTCAGGTCGTGATCTCACGGCTTGTGGGTTCGAGCCCCACATCAGGCTCTGTGCCGACTGCACGGAGTCTGCTTGGGATTCTCATATTTTCTCTCTCAAACCCCCCTCCCTGCTCACACTTTCTCAAAAATGAGTAAAAATTAAAAATTTTTTAATCTGGTGAATATGATCACACAAAAATGAAAGAAGTGCTAATGAAAAGTATGGGAAATGTAACAATGTATACTTAAGCTGATCTCATCCCCCCGGCAGAATTCAGGCTCACATCTAGCTTCCAAAATACTGAAAATGCAAAACTAATGTCTTACCTGGCAACTACTACTTTCTGGACATTTTCCCGCTGCTCAGGATCTTTATCAATTCCTATATCTGAGTTCAGATCCTTCAGAAGGACCCCACTCCACTCCATACAGGAACTAAGAAAAAGACATCAAAAATCCTTTTATTACATGGTATTATATAACAATAGTTTTTTAAACCTTAGCAAACCTGTTACAACTGCTGAGTGTTTTTGTTTTTAATGTTTATTTTAGAGACAGAGTACAACTGGGGAGGAGCAGAGAGAGAGGGAGACAGAATCTGAAGCAAGCTCCAAGCTCTGAGCTGTCAGCACAAAGCCCAACATGGGGCTTGAACCCATGAACTGTGAGATCATGACCTGAGCTGAAGTTGGACACTTAACCGAGCCACCCAGGCGCCCTCCAAGTGGTTTTCAAATAGCAATGTTCAACAGAACTATCAAAAATTCAGAGTCTAAGTCCTGCCCCAAATCTACCAAACTAAAATCTCCAGGGATAGAGCCCGTAATTGTATCATCTCAGTGAAGATTCTCCAAACAAGAAAGTGACAATTTTAAACTTTCAACTAGAGATAAGCTTTAACTTTTATCACTTCAAGTCTTCCATAACCAAGTTTTATATTAATGGATTTCAAGGGCTTTTAGAAAAAACTAAACACTATCATCACAGCACCTCTCCTCTGTAATTTTCTCTGTTAATATTAAGAATTTGTGTTACTCAGATTACAGTACTGACCTTTCTAGAGTGTTCCAAGTTAAATATAAACTATATCATATTACTTCGTGCTGTATTAAGAAAGTCTTATAATCTTGGGGTGCCTTGGTGGCTCAGTTAATTAAGCATCTGACTCAATTCCAGCTCGGGTCATGGTCTCACTGTTCAGGAGATCGAGCCCCATGTCAGGCTCTGTACGGAGAGCTCAGAGCCTGCTTGGGATTCTCTCCCCTCTCTTTGCCCCTCACCCACTCTCTCACGGGTATGTGCTTTCTCTCAAAATAAATAAACTTAGAAAAAAAAAAACTCTTTTAATCTTCCATACATAGGATTGTAATAATGTTCTGTTTTCAAATTTGTGAGTTTTTCTGGTAGATTAAATAAAATGTGCCTAAATACACTACTAAAAGGGTCTAGAGTGGAATCAAAGTGCTTTTTTCCCCCACTCAGGAGCTATTTTACTTTATGATGAACTATCTCTATGATCAACATAGTATAAATATCTTTCAGAGAATGCACAGCTCAGTGGTGCTTTTAGGCTTACCACTCAAGTCTCCATGCTCTCCAAACACCAACCCACGACAGCTTTCAGAATGGATGCCAAGCCTCTGCCCAGTCAAGATACAGAAATGGGCAGTGTCCAGATTACAGTCATTCCCAATAACACGGTTTTGGGGAAATGCACTCAACTTCCAAGCTACCTAAGTTAAGATACCCACTGAGAATAAAAAGTTAATGTCAGAAAAGTTCTTATCTAAAATTATACATTTTTTAGCTTTATCTAAATCTGATGTTTTATCGGAGGGAAAAAACCATGGTTCTTTATTCCAACTCCCAACTATATCACAATTCCAACAGTAGCTACCCAATAGAAATATATTATGAAAAAGTATTTTGCTACTTTGCATAGTCCTTGTGCAGAAACATAGTAGGTTCACTCCATAAAAAATTTTGAGAAACATGAGTAAGTGAATACTCTGATCAAATCTCTTACCAGTTTGATGCATACAGAGTCTTATTTATTTGAGAGCATGTGCAAGTGAGCAAGGGGCAGAGGAAGAGTTGATCATTATTTTTAAAAAACTAGAAATAAAAAGCTGTAATATAAAAACTACAGATGTATAGTTTTCTCCTCTTAGCTTCTACAAAAGACATAAGGTTATATATATATAATTATGCTGTCTTGTTGATTTGTAATATATAGACACAAAATAGCACAAAAGTCAGTGAGGGATTGATGCTATAATGGAGGAGAGTTTCTGTATTTTGTTGGAATTAAATGCAAAAATGTGAGGTAGATCATGGTATGTTAAACTGTATATTG